TTTGAGTTTCAAAATTGGGCATCCAAAATATCAGTAGCTCACAGGAAAACACACAAGGCGGGGCCCCCTAGATAGCAAAGTTGGTGAACATCACTCCAATAACATCCAATAGATTATAATATAGCGTGGATAATATAACATCCAATATCATCCAATATCACCGAATAACAGCATGATATAGTTTTGGTGATTGGGGTGACCAAGCCCAGCTCGTCATTGGTATAGCCTTCCCACCACTCCAGGCACCAAATCATGTAACTGCGCCATGGCCGACCTCAAATGGAGCCAACGTTCGGTGGTGCCCCAGTTTGGAAATGCAAAAGTTGGTGCAAGTAACATATATATACATATATATATACATATACATATACATAGACTTATGGGGGGTATATGGGGGTATATAAACTGACAAACATAACCATGGGGTCATCATTTACTAATTGGGTTGTTGGGCTCGCCCCTCCATTACCCAAGCATGGGAAAAAACATCAATCCTTCACCCATCAAAAGTGACCAATGAATTCAAGCACTTCCTGAGAAGGCTCTGGAAACAAAAAACTGAATCGCACGCCTACAATGTGCCCCCTCAGTTATAAGTTGGTTTATAAATTCCATCAACCTTTATTATAAGTATCATAAAGCCTATAGTTGTTGAAGTAATTGAAGGTATAAACATTTATAAACCAACATTTATATCCATTTATGCTTTACAAAAATCTCATTGAAATAAGCACAGTTATCTTCACCAACTTCGCTATTCAACGGGGGTCCACATTCGAAGACGTCCGAAGAACATACTTCCGGATCGGCTTGGTCAAGACTTTTTCTTCGAAGGTCCGCCAGATCTGAGATGTGATTGTCCCTCTTTTCAATGGAAAAATCAATGGGCAAATCCATGGAAAAACCACGTAAACACATCTCTAATCATGGAAAAAATTGTTTTAATGGAAACACATTAATGGAAACACATCCGTTTTTCCTCTTTTCCATTTTTTGTGGATGGGAAAATGGATGGGAACATCCTCGAACTGCATGAATAGATGGGGGTAGATATCACCATTGCCCGAGCTATATTCCCATTAGACATCATGTTCGTTGGCGAAATCTAGATTAAATCAACAGAACCAAGCCCAGCTATCCGAAAGTCCACCAAATCCTATGGGTAAACTTCATGGTCCACGAAGTTAGGGGCCAGAAATGGTGTCGGTTTGTGGTCCCCACACATGGGGTGTCCGGGGACAACCTAATAGAAATGGATCATCAAATCCTTAGTAAAGAGGTTATGAAGTTATGACGCTTCAAACTAGGACCCCCTGGCACGAGAAAGCTAAGCTGGTACGGTTACGGTAAACAAATCTTTTGTGATTTCTGTCGCGTTGATTGGGGGGATACCACTGGGAGTATTCATTGGGGGCCGCATTTTGTTGGTAGATCCAAGTGATTTTAGGGCCTATGAGTAACTAAATTCCAGGATCTTCCAAGCAACCAATGTGATTCAGGTTGACTTTTGAAGCACTGAGCATCAACACGACCACTTTTTGAATCACTAATGTTTTGGTGGTCTCAAATGCTTACAGCAATATGTGTCAACCCCAACGCTTCATGGCTTCATGTAGCACACACCAGACCGATCGCAATCCATGTCAACTGAAACACATCATACACGACTGCACTGTGATGTGGCCAAGAGATTTGTATACCTCCATTACTTCAATGAGAATGATATTGCGCTATTGATGGGGTCATATCTATGTGCAACATTGTGCAATTGTACTTGACTATCTAGTCATCCTACGTCATCATACAAAAGGTGGCCCTAATTGTACAATCTGCATCAGTACCCTTGCCTACATACATCGTGGATCTACTTCACAACGGCCACTGCTACATACCAAGTCAATCTTCACAAGTTACGGTGTATATGAGTATGTTCTGGTTGGTGGTTTCAACCCCTCTGAACAAATATTGGGATTACTATTCCCCATATATGGAAAAAGTTCCAAACCACCAAGCAGTGTTTAGTCCCCCTGGAGTAGATCCAATATGGACAACAAAACACACATATATCTAAAGCACATTGTGATATGGTTGAAAATCCCCAAATCCATCTACTTCAGGATGATTTTAGATATAGATACAACAGGATACAGTTATTATGGCCACTCAACTGATTATTTCTATGGGACTGTACATTCTATCAATGGGATTATTTCGGTACAAACATAACTGGTAAAGAGTCACTGAAATAACACCATTTATGGTTCATGTATTATAATAGTGTATAATCCCATTGAAATCACTAGTTATAACCATCATCAATCACTATTAGCTATTATTAACCACTATTAATCACCATGAATCACCATTAAGAACCAGTTATTTCACTCATAGCCATGGCCAGTTCACTGTATTAACCACTATTATTAACCATCATCAATCACTATTAGCTATTATTAACCACTATTAATCACCATGAATCACCATTAAGAACCAGTTATTTCACTCATAGCCATGGCCAGTTCACTGTATTAACCACTATTATTAACCATCATCAATCACTATTAGCTATTATTAACCACTATTAACCATGAATCTTATTATTACTCACCATGGCCATCAATCACTATTAGCCACTATTAACCACTATTAAACCATCATGCCACTACACTATTAACCACTGAACAAGTACAAGCATCAGTCTCCCGTCTCCCGCTTCCATCCAGGTCACGCGGGCCACGGATCCAACGAGGTCCAACGGCCGTTAGAACTGGCAGTCTGACTTATGGCCCATGAAGTTGGATGATTTGGCCAATTTTACCTGTACAAAATAGTGATTAATAGTGATTAATAGATACCTATTCATAGTGGTTAAAAATGGCTTGTTCCAACTTTTCTATGACTGTTCTATACCTTCTTTTTTTCGGGTGATGATACACAAAAAATTGCATCTACATATGATAGTGATCCCCACGTCCGTCAAACGACATACCTCACTTCACAAACACAACATCTGGCGATCAAAATTGAAACAATGGTCTGGTATTTTTGCAGCATTGACTTGCAAATGTTCACGTTTCACTCACTTAGCGAGTCAATATTGTCATCTGCAGTTAAAATTAATGGCGTTTGTTCAAACCAGAGTGATTAAATAACAAATTCAGTGCAATGGGGCTCAAGTTACATAGAAACATGATTTTTTGTGTCAATTTCATGTTAAAACATAATTGTGATGTTGTGGAAATTCGAGTCCCGATAGCGCGGCGCAAGATAAAGCTATGGGCTATTGTGTCATACTTTTGTTTGGTGCCCCGCTTGAGCCATGGGACGATCCCACAGAGGTCAGAAGGGAAACTCACCAGTGATGATCCCTGCGGAGGGAACAAGAAACTTTCGCTGGTTCCGTTGAACCGGGTGATGCATCCTGGACACCTGGAGAAATCCTCCAGATTTGATAACTTGTGATGCTTAAAAACATCCATCCTGTGGGTTCAACTGCCACTTCTTTTCACTGAAGGTGCACGGGGTGGAACATCACCATTTTTTTTTAAGAAAATCATGAATTTAAACGGACCATTTCCCATCGCAAACTGTTAATTTACAGTTTCCCAGTGTTTCCCATGTTCGTTTTCCCCGAGAATTTGATAGTGAGTCATGCTTTTCCCCATTAAAATTGTTCTATTGGAGGTGTAGGTATCTGCCATTCTCAGACCCACCAAGCGGCAAAGAGATTCCGTGCTCTTTTCCCAGCGTACCATGGGTTGGCATCCCTTGCCAACTTTGTGACACGGGTCTTGCCCCGAAACACTTGCAGCGGCTTACACGCTGCAGTGCAACTATGCACACTTGGGGCATGAAGCCGAAATCATTGTATTCTATGTGTTTGTTCACCCAGATTTTGACACGTTCTTCCTGTCTTTGGCTTTCTTTGGCTAACATCGATGTGTATTGATCAAGCCATGGGGTACGAAATCTATTGGCCTTTCCTGTCTCGTTCCTGATGTACATCATCTACCTGTATACTCCCCGGCTGTGCTTTGAAGAATAATTAATGATGGTGTGGATGAAGGAATTAACTATTTATTAGACACATACATGAACACATGAAACAGTTTTGGTAGAGACTAAACCAACCAGAGAATAAACACCGATTGAACAAATGAACGGCCTGTTCTCTGAGCCAAGTCTTCTCTCAGCAATTTATAACCTGAGCTACTTCTTCTGTCAGCTACTTCTTCACTGAGCTACCCCTGTACTACAATGTGGAGCCCCCTAGATAGTTAAGTAAGTATGGTTTATGGTAGATATATGTATAGTATTCATGGGCTTTCAAAACCAACTTAGCTATCTAGGGGGCCACACATTGTAAGTTATTACTTCCCTGTCCCAATTCTTTTCTGAGGTATTTTTTCTCTCAACTTTTCTGCGCCAATTCTTTTCGTGGCTATTGCTTCTCTCATATAGACTTCTTCTCTCTACTGTTATGGCCGGAAATACCAATTATAGGTACTTATAATCCCATTTGTGGAATGTATAATCCCATAGAAATAACCAGTTATAACCAATAAATGGTTATAACTAACTAACTCTACTAAGTATTCTCTGAATTTCCTCTTCCGTGTGCCAATTCGTCTCTTCGCTCAGCTGTGAAACGTGATCCAGTGAATTTTATGTTTCCAATACCTCCCGTGTCAACTGAACCAAACTGATGTTGCCGCGATGTGGTTGAATTGATGAGTTGTTTCAGCTACCCATTGACACAAAGTCAACAACTCGGAAGTTTCCCAAATAAATTCCATGTTTCCTTTAGGTTGGTTTAGAATCACCCCATTAACTAGTCGGATATGTATATTATAAAACAAATATGTATATATATATATATTATGTTATACATATGTGTATATATTAAAAACTTTTATAAACTTTAAACATCTTTAAACCATATACTTATTGGAGTTATGTTTGCCAGCTAAGCTATCTTAAATCCCATTTATTAAATCCCAGCAAAATCCATCAAATATTAAATCCCAGGAAAGGCCACCAAATCTCAATATGTGAACCACGAAAGAATCACAAGTTTCGCTGTTCCCAAATCCCTCATTTTCAGTAGATGGGCCTCACGACCTCAGCGACGCTCCGCCCGTGCTGCGCAGATCTGAAAACAGACACGTCGTGACGTGCCGCACGCGCTGACGCCAAAGCGGCAGGCTGTGGCCGTTGAGAACGAAGACTGGAACATGTTCTACACAGTTATGGCCATTTATTAGTTCTAACTTGTAACTGGTTATTTCTGTGGGATTATACAAAAACCATAATTGGATAGAACTTGAGAATTATTGGTAATGGCCATTAGTTAAAACATTAGTTATAAATGGTGACTTCTATGGGAATATACATTCCATAAATGTGGTTATGTCAGTACTTATAACTGGTATTTCGGGCAATAACTGCAAGGTGCCACCGCCCGGTTAAGAGTTGGTTTACAACCCCAAACAAACTATGGTTTTATCCCCAATATATCTATATATATAAAAATAATATATATATATATAAATAGATTTACACTAAAAAAAATATATATATATATATAATAAAATGTAAAATAAAAAATGTGAAATAATTTACTATATACAATATACAATATAAAATATACAATATAACAAATACATATTATATATATAACATACATACAACATATAATATACATATAATATTATATGTATAATATTATTTAAATATAAAAAAAATATATATAAATATAATATCTAATATAAGATATTTAATATATAATATAAACATATTTTTTAATAAATATTATATAAAATATCACATATAATATGTAACATAAAATATTCACTTAAAATATATAAATACATAATAAATATGATTTGTGTCTACCAACTTAGCTATCGTTTGCTGACTCACCTCGTATGTATTTGTGTCGAAGCATGTCCTTTCTCAACGGAATATGTATACATACATCATACATGCGTGTATATATGTATATCTAAGAAGAAAAACAACCAAAAAACAAAAGGCATATGTATAGATCAAGGTATATGCATTCAGCTTCTATATATCCATATATATATATGCACACACACAAAACAAAAAAACTGTAGCCTCTGGCAATTTCACCAAGGAAAACATGCTTATTGCGTGCATGTATGCGTGTATGTAAATATACAAGAATACCTACTTAAACATGTTATTTACACACATACTGAATACATAGGAATATTCATCCTTGTGGCCAAAGGCTGACCCAGGCCCAGTCACTTGATGGTTTTGTATTGAGGAAAGCATCGAGCATGTTTTTTCTCCCGTCAAAAGGTCAGCAAAAACTAGAATTTAGTGCAACTGTAATTTACAGGGGATATAACTACAAGTGTTGTGAATTAAAAAATCACTTATAATTAGAACTGGGTGGTGGTTTTAACCATCTTGAAAAATATGAGTCAATGGGAAGGATTATCCCATATATATTATGGAAAATAAAAGCCATGTTCCAAACCGCCAACCAGTGGAAGTTCAAACTAACATAGCTATGGAACATCACCGTTTTCAATGGGTAAATCAACTATAAATGGCCATGTTCAATAGCTATGTTAGTCATTACCAGAGGGTATTATCCATTATATCACCTATAAATCCCTATAAATCCAAAAAAAACTATAAATCCCAAATGGTAACTTATAATTATAAGTATGGGGAGCCACTGTGTAGATGTCCTTCTCCCACTGGCTGGTTGATGAAAAGAGTTTCCATCCGATATACAGTAACTGACAACAAATACGATCTACATCCACTGTCGATTATACGATCTATAATAGGTAAACTATAATCAATGACAATAGATGCCATCTATAGATACCATCTATAATAGCTAGGATATAAACAACTACATTAAAATACCGGTCCATCTATCTTGTTCCAAGGAAACGACAGCGACTGGACATCTTGGACTTGGACATGAGTGTGCTATGAACGTTTGCATCATGGATGGGGTTTAAGTCATGTATTCTGTATATATATATGCAATATTCTGACATATTCTATATATGTTTATTTTTGAACACATATATATATATATGTATTTATTTATCAATTATCATATCTCCATTCAAAATACACTGATATTAACATTAACAAATCCATGTTCAAACTGGAGTTCACACGGTTATGTTATATGGAGAGAGCTCTAAACCCCGTTATAGTTCCTATATTCAATGTTTAATCCAAAGAGAGTAGTCCACCATATTTTTTTCAGAGCTCATAGATACCAGTTAAGAATGAATGTATTAACATATATATATGTGTGTGTGTGAAGGTTCCTGAAATGGGGGTACCCCTAAATCATCAATTTTATTTTTGGGTTTTCCAGTATAAGCCAAGCATTTTCGGGGATTCCCCATGTATGAAAACCCTTATATTACAAATATATTGATACTGAGGTTACATTATTGTTTCTCCATTTTCTGCATATACTCCATTATTTTGTAAGCCCCACTTTCGATTTTTCAGAAGATTATGGACATTAACATTGTGAAATCCATGCAATCCATGGACATGGGTGTACGATCCACTAGCATCATGGGTGATGGGGTCTAAGTCACATGCCATATACACATCATTTTTTAATATGTGTATATATATATATATCTTGACATATCATGAGTATGTGGATATTAATATTATCAAAGCCATGCACAAACCTGAGTCACACAGTTATGGCAAATTATTAGATATAACTCGGTGAACAAACATAAACATATATATATATAGATATATAAATATCTATAAATATAATATTATACATCAACCATTTTTATGGAGTTATTTCAGAGACAAACATAACTGGTATTTCGAGCCATAACTGTATACCGTATACCTCTATGGTTGGTTATACTGGTTCATATCCCGTTTTTCTTCCACTCTTCATTGGTCAAACCCCGACTGTGACATTTTTTCGGGCCATAACTGAATGTTTTGTTTTTCCTCCCAGGAGATACAGTTATGGCCCGAGATACCAGTTATAAGTACTGAACTAATCCCATGTATGAAATGTATAAATCCATAGAAATGACCAGCAATTTCACCATCAAGAATCACAAAAAAGCAACTTTTAACCATGATATAACCACGATTAAAATCACCAGCAAAACACTATAGAAATCACCATCAATCATTTAGAACTGATAGCCATGGCCATGACGCCATCAGAGTGGAATGCTCTTGGTGTATTTCTTGTCGTGAAGCCTGGGCGGGCCATCGCGGCGGTGAACACGATTTGCCCATTTGGTGGGACATGTTCTGGTGATTTCATGGGGTGTATGTGGTGGGCTATTCAAATGGGATTCAAATGGGATTTAATGGGATTTTATTGGGATTCAGGTTGATTTAGTGCGACTTAAAATGCCATTTGATGGGGATGTTCATGGAATTTCCATGCTGATTCACTGGGATTTTATGGATTCAACTGGCTTTTAGATAGCAAAGTTGGTGAACATCATTTGGCCAGGCCTATGGGCGATATAACTATAGTATACATAATCGCCGATATATATATATATATATACATGTGTATATATATATATATCAATATAACTATAGTATACTACAGCTATATACATAAATTGGGGTTAACAAACTCATAGCTGGCTAGGGGGCCTTTCCCAGCCCAGCTGATTACCGAGGGCTAGTTCCGGTAATCATGAAACATCAGAACATTATACGCATTTCTACTTCGAACCGCCGAAAAAAAGTGAAAAAAGGTTGTTGCCCACTGCCCACGAGTTTGGGGATGGCCTCACTTGAACCAGTACGGGGTTTTTCCATTTGCGAGTCAAAGCTATGGACCCTTCACATATGACAAGCTAGTGGTCCGTATATGTCAGTACTCAACAATCCATATGGTATGAAAGCAATAGAATGCTCGAATGTAAGCAGTAGTCGAACCAGAAAAAGAGAGATTGCTATTGGATGGGTCTATGTTTTCTCCGCGAACATTCATGATCATTCCAGTGACGTCACGACGTACGACGTAAGGTCATGATGGAATTATATCAAATTCATCCGAATAGAATAATCCATTAATATCTCATTATTATCTCATAAATATCCCCATTGTAAGCAGCCAATTAATACAACCAACAACTCTATGGTCCTGATTGCACTTCCAGTTGACGTGGGCATAGCTGCCCTAGCGAACAAACGGCACCAAGATGTACCGAGTGGCCGGGTTGATACACTGAGAATGGGTTGATAGCAGCCTCCAAGTTGTCTCTATTTAGAGTACCCTCCAGCGAACTAACTGGAGGCTAAAGAAGCATCAGCCAATGCTTCAATGGCCTTCTTTCGGTGCAACAAGACGTACTTCCAGATCCATTGGATGGGAATTAACAAAGGAGCTAAGCGTCTGGGAGGATCTGGGAGCTAAGCGGCTGCTTGATGGTTGCGCTTCCCGCCCATTGAGTTCCATTATTTACCCACTAAGACTGCTGATTTTCGAAAGTTATGTTAATTTACAAAGGATACAGTACTCCCATCCCACGGATGTTAAACACCCCTTAGATGGTCCCAAATATGTGCAGAACTGCCATTAAACCATGGTTTCTGGGGGGTGTTTAATATTAAGGGGAAGGGATGAACTCAAGTGAAGTTTAGGAGGGGTTGTCGGTCAAGAATGGCAATTGTGGATTGATCACCACTGGTTTATGAATTCAGGAAGTCACCCCAAGGCGATTTCAGTGGCAATGAACATGATGATAAGATTCCACCTGCAAAAGTTGCACTTGGGATTTAGATATGCGGTTTCATTTTCTTTGTTGGTCTTCACTAAGGATATCCCAATTTTCAAAGAGAAATGCGATAGCCAGAAACGGCAAACTTGTTGCATGCAAAGAAGCTGTTCCTGAATCGAAGCCAATTTTTTCGCGATCTTTCCTCAGATCTGAAAGCCGTTTAAAGGGTGGGCAATCTGTTCGGCATTGAGTGTCGTTAGGTGCTGCGAAGTACTTTAGGTACATTTGGGTAGAATACCTCAGGAATGGGGATCGTTTCATTGCTGGTTTATATATAAATATATACTGTATATATATTGCCAAGCCCGTGTTTGGCTTAAGACTGGTGGGGGGGGGGTGGTGCACGGCAAGGTGCTAAAATTTCAAAAATAGGTGCTCAATGGTGCTCAAATTTAAGGAAATAGGTGTTTTTTTGAAGAAACCGGGTCGGGATCCAGTCGGGACCCAGTCGGGACCCAATCGGGCACCAATTTTTGCATTTTTGGGCACCGCTTTTGGCCAGCCGGGATCCAGTCGGGATCCAGTCGGGATCCAGTCGGGCACCAATTTTCGAATTTTTGGCACCACGTTTGGACCTGTCGGGAAGCAGCCAAAATCACCGAAAAACATGCAAAAACACTCCAAAAATGCTATTTTTTATGTATTTGGCTGCCTCCCGACATTGGTGCCCGACTGGATCCCGACTGGATCCCGACTGGCCAAAAGCGGTGCCCAAAAATGCAAAAATTGGTGCCCGACTGGGTGCCGACGGGATCCTGACTGGATCCATAGATTGGCAAGAACCCACTCCCGCACCTATTTTTCCCTTCCCAGACCCACCCTTGCCCCTATTTTCCTTTTCCGCGCACCAGCCGTGCACCAATACCCCCCCCCTCCTGCACCAAAACGGTAAAAGCAGTCTTAAGCCAAACGGGGGTTCTACAATATATATATATTCCTGGGAATTGTTGGGAACATAACAACATGAGCTTCTGACAATCCTGCTATGTGCGCAAATTGCTACAACTGGACATCCCTAAAATTCAGTGGTACTTTGTATATATATATATATATCATATATCGTCCTGTTTTCCCATTCTGATTTGAGGGGCATACCACATTTTTCAGATTGTAGTTGGTATAGAATCCCATCTAACTGGACATGTCCAGTATAAACCCCAGCTGTTGTAGTTTTAAGACAACTTACCAATTTTAGACGGTCAGACCATGACCCACTTGTTCAATAATTACTGATCACTTACCACTCGGCATCCGAATCCAAGCAGGGACCCAAGGTGAAATGAACCCCCATTAAGGATGTCCGTAAGCCCCGCTGCATATGACCCATTAAAATGAGCTCCAAATTGCATTTGTTAAGTATTTCAGCTTCAAAACTAGTGCATATAAACATGCATAAACCCAACTATAACGGAGTTGGAATAGGGACATCATGCAGTTATAACAAACAAACATGATTTTGGGGGTGTCTGCAAAGGCGGGGTAAACCACATATTTTTTTCGCGATGATCTCCCTATGATGGCAGGGACAACCAGCCCAACGGAAAATTTCCGAACTTAATGGAAGTTTACAGCTGGGAAAATCATCTCTATAACATGTGTGCTGGTAAAATCACCATTTGTGTTCGGTTTCTTCCTATTTGTGTAAGTGAAATCAGCATGTTTGCTTTAAAATCGCAATGTTGTGGAAACAAAAAAACAATGAAATTTCATGACATCAGCATGTTTGCCTGTGAAATCACCAGTTGTGTTGGTTAAATCCTACAGTTATGGCCCTTTACCAGTTGTACGTACTAACTAAGTCCATTTACGTAATGTATACTCCCACCAAAAAAAAACAATCACCAGTCATAAACATTTCTAATTTGTAAGCGGCCATAACCGTAATGTTTTGCTGGCTTTTGCCTTAGTTTTCACCACCGCCGCATGGCCCAAGCGTCGCTGCAGGGGTCCGGGGTGATTGCACCATGCCAGCGCACCGCCCACGCCTTGTGCCACGTCGAACAAACCGGTGACAGTGGCAGCGATGCGCGAGGAACACGAGAAAGGGACCTGGGCCAGGAGATATCGCATACATAACATATAGTAGATATCTAAAAGGGGGGTACCCCAATATCTGGGAGATGGTGGTTTTGAATGGGATTTATATTTCAAAAAACGTGTGATTCAATGGGATTTAACCAACAAAAAATGTGTTTAAATATGGTTTTATAACAACCAATAACTATGGTTTGGATGCATAACATATAAATAAATATACATATATATTATATATATATATATATATAGGAATTTATTAGAATGGAGTTGACAATTTTATGACTAAGATTTTGGGGTATTCCTATGCTAGGAAACATCAAAAAAAACAGAACAAATACCATCTCCTATGGTTCCAAGAACCTTTTGAAGACGCCTTTGGGGGTTGCTTTTTAGGGGGTTAAGTACCTTCTCAAAAGGTATTGGCATCCAAAGGAATCTTGATATAGTTACATATGTTATTGGTCAATAAATATTTGTGGTACATCTACACTATGTATGTCATATAAAAAGTACACTCTATATAGAAATAAATATTAATATATGTATGTATTTATATTCTACATACAAAACATACATTACATGACACTACACTTCATTACATTACGTTACATTCCATTACACTACAATACATTGCCTTACATGGGGTACATATTCCATGGATACCATACATTACTCTTCTTATAGATGGGACCAACAGTAAACCAACATAGCTCTGGAACATATGGCTCATTTTAGAGACAGTTTGGATCTTAAACATGGTGATTTTTGCATAGATATGTTAGTTCACCAAGGGGTAATGTATAGAATACACTACTATGTGGAAATGTGGACGATTGTGTGATTATCTAATGCTGAGTAAAATCACATTAAAGAATCGCATTGGAGATGATCATCCTTGTAAATTTAGAAAAATAGTGGACACATACGGTAATATTGTAAACATCAAAAACTCAACAAGTTTCTTGTTTTCGCAGAACCAAACAAGATAGAAACATGTTTGAAGTTGTACTGCATCGTTTTAGGGTTGCACAAGGTGACTAAATGAAACATCTGCACCTTAGAAAGGCAAATAAATAACACGCATGGTACTGTATCATGATGTATTGTCTATAATGGAAAAAGAATCAAGGGCATCGGTGCTAGTTTCTGGGGTAGGAAGGAATCTGCCAAAACCTTTTTTGGGGTCACATTTGTCTGTCATGTCCCGTTACTGCTACTGTTAAACGTATCCACCAGTTGTGGCCGAACAACATGATGACATCCTTTCAGCCGTGAGCGGTGGCACTTGTGCAGGTCCTTCCGTCTGGCTTTGCTGGTGGTGCTTGCTGAAGTGTCCGAGCACTTCTGGCGTCTGATCCTCGTTTTGATGATAAATCTCGAAGTTTTGATGGCGCAAACCACTTATACCACTCCTCCCATGTGGGGCTGGAGGCCCGAACGGTGACTGGCAGTGAGCTTGAACTTCCTGATCTGGTATGAACCCATGCCTTCTTTGGTTGTTCTTGCAGTGCTTGCGCACAAACCAGATTCCGCAGCCCTGCTTCGGCACCACACGCAGCCGCGGTTAGGTCGTCGCACGCTGGCGCAGGGGAGGGCAGGGGGCGCAGGTGCTGCCACCGTGCTGGCCTCCAGCTACGTCCCATTATCACCGGATCTTTTAGGCCGAGGATGACTCAGTTTTAGCACAACAAAACCTGGAGTCGTACTGATTACCCTGGTGGCCGATTTCCTTGTTGGTTAAATTGACAGCCCATTGGAACATGGGCACTGGATAACTCAATCGTTTGCCAGACATGGATTTGTTTTTACTACTCCATGCAAACATCATGGTAAATACGCAAACAAAGAACACAAATATCACATATATATATACATATGTAAATCAAATATAACATCTTAAAATAATATAACTGAAGTTTGATGGAATACTAAATAAAAACGACTCCAAGGGTTCCATTTTGGCGAAACATCAACATAGCCAACCTACAATACACCAAACTATACATAGCAATTGCGGTTGAAGAATGTTCCAAATCGATCAAAATGAACTCCGCGCATCCTCCTTATTTTTACTAACTTGGCTATCAAAATTCCATGCATTCCGATCAATTCACATTAACTCCCATTTACCTAGATGTATCTCACCATTCAAAAAGCATGCCACCATTTAACTACCATTCTTTCACCATCACCGTTTTTTTTTGAAATACCCTTAGATCGCATTTAACTTACCATATTGTCACTTTTAATTCAACAGGAAAATCCCATGATGTCCCATTTAACCACCATTATCTCATCATTAAATCACAATTATTCTGAATGGGGTTATATATTCCATAAATGGGGTTATGAGTGACAAAAATAGCTGGTATAATTAAAACTCGGGCCAACACTGTAGAATATATTACCCAATGAATATATCCCATTAATCCCTATGAATATTCCCATTGAATCACTAGCTAAAATCTCATTACCGGTAAATTCACATAGCGATTTGTTTGGCACCTGCTGCAGCCCAGCGGCCAAGGTGGTATTACCACATCCAGCGGCCGCGGCCGACAGGTAGGTCGCCACCTGACAGGCGACCACTTCGGCACGCCCTCTCTGTCAAGGACAAGCGTCCATAGGTGAGTTTTTTATATATGGATACCAAAAAACACATACATACATACACACAATACACTACATTACATTATATTATATTACATTAGTTAAACTAAACTACATTAAATTACATTACCTTACATTACCTTAAATTACATTACCTTAAATTACATTACATTACAGTACATTACGTTACATTACCATACATACATACTATACATACCATATGTACATACAAACATACAAACATACAAACGTACAAACATACATACAATACATACCATATATACAAATTTAACATGACATGACATTACATTACATTACATTACCATACATACAAACATACATACATACATACATACGTACATAGATACATACATAGATACATACATACCATACCATACCATACCATACCATACCATACCATACCATACCATACCATACCATACATACCATACCATACCATACCATACCATACATACCATACATACCATACATACCATACATACCATACATACATATGTACATACATACATATGTACATACATACAAACATACATACATAGATACATAGATACAAAGATTCATACTTACATACATACATACATACAGACAGACAAACAAACAGACATACATACATACATTACATACATACCATACATACCATACATACCATACATACCATACATACACACATACATACACACATACATAACACAGCACAGCACAGCACAGCACAAAACACAACACAACACAATACAACATTACGAAACATACAGACAGACAGACAGACAGACAAACATACATACATACATACATTACATGCATTACATAAATTACATACATTACATACATACATACATACATACATACATACATTGCATTACATTGCATTACATTGCATTACATTGCATTACATTGCATTACATTGCATTACATTGCATTACATTGCATTACATTGCATTACATTGCATTACATTACATTACATGACATACATACATACATTACATTACATTACATTGCATTGCATTGCATTGCATTACACTACATTACATTACCATACATACATACATTAATACATTACATACATACATACATACATGCATACATGCATACATACATACATACATGCATGCATACATACACCCATGCATGCAACCATGCATACATACATGCATCCATGCATACATACATACATTACATACATACATACATTACATTACATTACATTACATTACATTACATTACAGTACATACATACATTACATACATACTTGCATTACATTACATTACATTACATTGCATTACATTACATTACATTGCATTATATTACATTACATTACATTACATCACATTACATACATACAAACATTACATTACATTACATTACGTTACATTACATTACATTACACTACATTACAGTACATTACATTACACTACATTACATTACATACATACATACATACATACATTAACACATTACATACATACATACATACATTACAAACATATATACATACATGCATGCATGCATGCATGCATGCATGCATACACGCATGCATGCATACATACATACATTACATACAAACATGACATAACACAACATAACATTACATTACATTACATACATACATTACATACATGCATACATACGTACATACATGCATGCATACATACATACACACATGCATGCATGCATACATTCATACATACATACATACATAAATACATACATACACACATACATGCATACATACATACGAACATACAAGCATGCATGCATGCATGTATGCATACCATCCATCCATCCATCCATCCATACATACTTACTTACTTACTTACATTACATACATACATACTTACATACATACCTACATACATGCATCCATGCATCCATACATACATACACGCATACATACATACATACATACATACATACTTACATACATACCTACATACATACATCCATGCATACATTGCATTGCATTACATTGCATTACATTGCATTACATTGCATTACATTGCATTACATTGCATTACATTGCATTACATTGCATTACATTGCATTACATTGCATTACATAGCATTACATTGCATTACATTGCATTACATTGCATTACATTGCATTACATTGCGTTACATTGCATTACATTGCATTACATTGCATTACATTGCATTACATTGCATTACATTACATTACATTGCACTACATTGCATTACATTACATACATACATACATTACATACATACATACATGCATACATACATACATACATACATAAATACATACATACATACATACAATTACATTACATTACATTACATTACGTTACGTTACGTTACATTACATTACATACATACATACATTACATACATACATACATACATACATGCATACCTCCATGCATCCATGCATACATACATACATACATGACATACATACATACATACATACATGCATACATACATACATACATGCATACATTCATACACACATACATACATACATACATACATACATACATACATACATACATACATACATACAATACATACATACATACATACATACATACATACATACATACATGCATACATACATACATACATACATACAGCCATACATACAAACTTTACATTACATTACATTACATTAATACATACATGCATGACATACATACATACATACAAACATTACATACAAACATTACATTACATTACATTACGTTACGTTACGCTACATTACATTACATTACATTACATACATACATTACATAAATACATAACATAACATAACACTACATTACATAACATAAAATAACATTACATTACATTACATACATACAAAGATACACACATACATACATACATGCATGCATGCGTACATACATACATACATACATTACATTACATTACACTACACTACATTACATTACATTGCATCACATTACATTACATGATTTTAAATGTAATCACTACACTACATCATTTTAAATTACATTACATGACATTACATGACATTACCATACATACATACATACATACATTCATACATACATACATACAAACAAACAAACATTACATACATCACATACATTACATAATACAGCCATACATAAATTCATACATACAGACATACATACATAATGACGAAATATAGTCAAAAAGTCAAATTATGAACCACCTTCCAAAACACAGCGTCACCTCCTGGTGCTTTAGAAGAACTGGAGCTGAACAGATGGGTAAAGGTGGCACTCCTTTGCGTCTTCTTCGCTTCGCCCCTGGTCTTGGCTAAGGCAGGGCAGTTTCCGCGCTGTTGGAGGTAGAGCTTTTTCTCGCCCACCTTCTTGACCTTGAGGTTCCGCTTCAGGTTCCTCTTCTCCTCCCTTTTCGCGGCTTTGTACTCTGCATAAGAAACTTCTGTCAGTGGTAGAGAGTCCGTTCTGGGCGCTTGCATGCAGAGCCTTGCGATGTGCCAGCTTACCAGCTAAGCTAAGGCTAGGCTGTTCCTGAGACATTGCTAAAACATTCCCAATGAATCTTTATCTCATTCTTTGAGTGAAGCACTCATCTCACTTTGTCAAACATTGGTGAATCACCCCTGCAGTGTGTAAAAGCGTCTGTGTGTAAAAGTGTTTCTGTGTAAGAGTGTCTGTGTGTAAAAGTGTCTGTGTGTAAACGAGTCTGTGTGTAAAAGTGTCTTTGTGTGTAAAAGCTTCTGTGTGTAAAAGCGTCTGTGTGTAAAAGCGTGTGCGTGTAAAAACGTCTGTGGGTAAAAGTTCTGTGTGTAAAAGCGCCTGTGTGTAAAAGTGTTTGTGTGTAAAAGCACCTGTGTGAAAGGCGTCTGTGTGTAAATGCGTCTGTGTGCAAAAGCGTCTGTGTGTAAAAGCGTCTGTGTGTAAAAGCGTCTGTGTGTAAAAGCGTTTGTGTGTAAAGGTGTCTTTGTGTAAAAGTGTATGTGTATGTGTGTAAAAGCCTCTGTGTGTCAAGGTGTCTGTATAAAAGCGTTTGCGTGTAAAAACTAGTGTCTGTGTGTGAAAGCATCTGTGTGAAAAGCGTCTGTGTAAAAGTGTCTGTGTGTAAAAGCGTGTGTGTGTGTAAAAGCGTCTGTGTGTAAGAGCGTCTGTGTGTAAGAAGCGTCTGTGTAAAAGCGTTATATGTGTAAAAATGTCTGCAGTGTGTGTGTGTGAAAGCGTCTGTGTGTAAAAGCGTCTGGGTGTAAAAGCGTCTCTGTAAAGGCGTCTTATGCAAAAGTGTCTGTGTGTAAAAGCGTCTGTGTGTAAAGGAGTCTGTGTGTAAAAGTGAATGTGTGTAAAAGCACCTTGTGAAAGGCGTCTGCGTGTCAAAGTGCCTGTGTGTAAATTGTGTACAAGCGTCTGTGTGTGAAAGGGATGTAAAGTACCTGCGTGCAAAAGTGTCTGCTGTTGAACTCTTTATTTACCTGTTCTTCGATTTCCTCTGGGAGCCCTTTTCTTGACATATTATCCTTTTCTTCTTGTCTGCCTAAAATACATCTTTAATAAATTGTCTTCTAATATATTGTATTGATACTATCAATAGAAGAAATTGCTCCTCTACGCTCTCGGGCCATCTGCCGTCTAGTTTTTTGACTCTTGGCTGGTCCAGCATTTTCTAACTAGAAAACGGGGGTCACGTGAGTTAGGGTTGTAAATAGCAATGAGGATATTTAAGGGGCTTACTAACCGAGAATACTAAGCAGTTATTAAATGGGATGATCCTCTGAGTAGCGATTTGTTCTAAACTAACTTACCAATCCTTTGGGGGCACCACCTTGTAGCCCCTTACCGTTCCCTCCAAAGCACATCACCAGGCAGTGATGGGGCAAAAGTATCCCTTACAAGGTGGGGCCCCGTTTACGATAGATATTTTATCTGCAAATCCAAAAAAAGGGATTTAATGGGAACTGGATACCTGGAAGTTGACATGAATCCCATAATAAATCCCATAACTATGGTTTCTGAGGGGTCGAACTAAAGTTCATGGTGCTTATGAACAAAGAATCATCCCTGCGGGTGCTCCCTCCGCCTGAGCGATATCTGCCAGGAGCCCCGCAATGTTCTCCGTGCACACGGCGCGGTCGTTCTTTGTGGGATACTCCTACAGTGGGCACAGAAACCAATGATGGGGTTGCAAGTGCTCCAGCCACAATGTGTATCAACCCCATCACGCCTTAGTTAACTTCCTGAGGCTATATCTCAACTTGGCCATTGTTTGGGGCCCACCTTTCTCTTGGCTGCCGCCTGAAACATTGCCAAATGTGGGTGTTACTCGGCAGGCCGGTGTGTCACTTGTGAGGACTTATGAGGCAGCCAGCCATGTAACAAAAAAGGGGCTCGGGCTCCCTCTGCGCAAAAATTGCTATTTTGAAGTTGCATGAGGGTTACCAGTGGCACGGCCTGGACAGATTGAGACAACTTAATAAGATTTAGCAGGTTGGCGGAATTTGCCTGCCGAAAAAAATGTCGATGTTTGGCCGTATGTGTTGGGTATGCTACTGGCTCCATGAAGATTGCGATTCATCGTGTGGGTCATGCAAATGCCGTTGCCATGAAAAACGTCCTCGTGTGTCATGTGCTCAGGTGCTCTGTGTTTGGTTAGCAGAGTGAAACTAACTTTGCTATCTAAACCTGGTGAAAACCGATAAAACCCAGCGATGTCCTTTGCATGTGAACGACTGACTGTGCATACTAGTGACCGGATGACACCGTGTGTGTGTATATATATATATATAAATACCTATATGTATATAGGATATCACCCCCAAGCAAGATGCAGAATAGCTGCAAAATCAGATAAAAATGGTGATCATTTACCCCTCTATCTTTTTTTGGGGCGCTATATATATATATATATGTATATATATACATGTGCATATAGTCATCCTGGAGTACGAAAATCCAAACAACCCACCCTAAAGCTGGAATATGTTTGAACAGTCCTTGTTTTATCGATTCCAGGATGATTGCGTACACATAAGCAAGTATATACATATATTATAATATAAACAATACCTATTGCCATCGTCAAAAGATTGTATTCCCTCATTGGTTGGATTAACCATTGATCATCTAATCCAAGTTTTGACAAGGCACAAATATATGTATATATATATATATACATACACATAAGTTTACATATATACATATATAAAGAAATTTACATATATACAAACATATTTAAAAAATCCCGTTCTAGATTAAGTGGGGGGGTTGGGCCTCCCCATTTTATAGTACTAAAACGGGGGCACCCACCCACCCCCAGAATGGGACCTCTATAAAATGGAAACACCCAGGGTCACAAAACAGGTGCACCTCTATAAAATAGGTAATTCATTTGAAAAAGCAAATATTTACAGCTACAAATTTGCTGCAAACCCTCCATCACTCTAAAATGGGAGGCCCCAACGTACCCTGGAGCCTAGCCTTAAAATGAAGAAAATAGCCAACTTTTTACTATAGAATGGGAACCCCCAACCCCCTGTATATAGCCTCAATTTTACAACATCCAAAAATGAATGGTTTCTTCAGGGGTTGGGTGTTTCCATTCTATAGAGATTACATGCCCTTCCTGGTAGGATTTTCTGGGGGTTGGGTGTTTCCATTCTATAGTGCCACAGCCTTCCTACATCCTCCAGCATCATTGCTCCAAAGACACGGCATATCACGGCATGTTTTTCAACACAGATTGCGCACTGAAGATCACTATAGATCACTGAAGTGATCTGAAGTGTGTTTCACCGAAAGTGTGCACATGTGCGCTGGCAGAGCATTGAAAAACAATGCATTTGCAGCACACTGCAAAACCCCCCTAGATTGAATCAGATACAACATGCATCAACATACTAATACAATCTAATACATACTACAACCATCTACAACCCATAATCACTATAAAATGGAGGCTACCAACCCCCAAAAAGAATGACTTCCTGAAACCTCCTGACTCTATAGAATGGGAACACCCAACCCCCATAAAGGAGTGTCATGCCAAAAAGGGCATCACTATAAAATGGAATTTAATATTGTAAAATCAAAATCTTCCTGCCCCCTGGGGTCACTATAAAATGAAAGTACCAACCCCCTGGAAAAAACCTCGCTAAATTATGTCTAAAAAAAAATGGTTTAGTGGGACCCCGGGGCTCCCCATTTTAGAGAGGTTATTCCAAAGGGGATTTTAAATATATTTAAATCTTTATACATATACAAGTATTAACATATATATATATATACACATATGTATGTATACATGTAAATATATATATATACATATGTATGTATACACACATATACATATTATATATATTATATTATGTGTACATATGTATATATATATATATTATATATATTATATATAAAAGCATCATCCAAAAAAAACGCAATTAAATTATATAATAAAAGGCTGGAGGTTTCCCGGAGCTACAATGAAGATGCTGTCTCAATGAAGATTGCTCTTTGAACCGCGTATGATATGGCTACAAATGGGTGAGGGGGTGGGGGGGGGTAATACACTTTGGCTGGCCTTCATGACAGTTGTTGCTTTTTGAAGACAAAATGGAACACCGAAACATCTTGTCAGCATTTTATGTCCATCGAAAACTTGGATGGATCCCATCTTGAAAGCCTTGCAATTGCGGCCCGAAAAACCAGTTATAAGTACTAAGTCACCCCATCTATGAAATGTATAATCCCAAAGCAATAACAAATTATAAGCATGTTTAATTATTGATTTCTACGGCCATACCTGTGAAAGCTTTGACATGTCATCGTCAGTGAACGGTGAGGGTAATCACAGTGACGCCTTTAAGACGACTATTGTAGCTATATGCAAAAGAATCGCTGTTATGAAAGCAGCATGTGATAAATAACATCCCAAACAAGAGTTCAGGTAAATTGCAGTAGCCTCTAGTTATTGAACGAAACTATGATTTATTCTTCTTTACCTGTTATCTTAAAAAAACATACCTACGTTATAGAAACTAGAGGATAAAATATCCGCAAAGTGAATGTACATTTCACGCACATGTTTCTCCAGATATTACATTAACCATCAGCCTTTCTCCATGGGTCTTGGCCGACAATATGGACAGATGAAAAGCAGAGATGGGAAGAGTCAGAGAAGAGAAGAGAAGATGATCAAAAATCAGAGAAGAGAAAGAGTCAGAGGAAAGAAGATGCAGGTGCGCAAAAAGATAGAAAAGTCGCAAACACCATGTTTTTCCAATGTTTTGTGGCTCCGGAGGGTCGAAAAGTAGGCTCGCTAAACCGGCAGCCATCTGGGCAGATGAGAGATGAAAAATTGCACGCCGTTGTGGCGCGAAGCACATTTCCAAGTCAACATGCTCAAAACGCCTCAGCCTCGGAGCATTATTGGAAGTTAAGATGTTGAAAAAGTGCATGCTGTTGTGGCGCGGAACACATTTCGAAGTCAAAATATACAAAGCACCTCAGCCTCGGAGCACTTTTGGAAGTTGAGATGTTGAAAAAGTGCATGCTGTTGTGGCGCGAAGCACATTTCGAAGTCAAAACGTGCAAAACACCGCAAGTTCGCGCCACTTTTGGGCGTTGAAGCGTCGTTTTGTGTGGCAGGCGCAAGCAACGGATTCTGCACCTTGCCAAAAGTGAGGAAAACGTCAGGGGTTTATAGCAGTTCCAGAAACGATGGCAAGCGTGGGACATTTGAAGGGGACCTGGAAAGATGCATTTCGCGTAGCAGGCACAATACAAGAGATATGTTCATCAGAGATGTTAGGGGGTAGGTCGCTGCTTCCCTGAGAGAGTTTGTATTTGGGAGCAGATCTGCAGGTTTGCAAAGATGATTTTGCGTGACAGGTGCAGCTCTTCGTAAGACCTGGCATCCCTTTTGCGTGGCAGGCGCAGCACTTTACACAGATGGAGTGGAAAAATCGCGAAATGCAATGGTACGAGGCCGTCAGCTCTGCACTCAACTGTCCATTTTGCAGGACGTCTCGCAGAATTGCTTAGTTTGTGATGTTGTCAACTTCGAAAATGGAAGCAGGTCTTGCAGAATTGCTTCGTTTTTGATGTTGCCAACTTCGCAAATTGAGGAAGTCTCCCAGAATTGCTTCGTTTTTGACCTTGTCAAGTTGAAACATTGAGGAAATCTCGCAGAATAGCTTAGTTTCAAGCTTTCAGATAGACAGATAGACAGACAGATAGATAGATAGATAGATAGACAACTACAACTACAACTACAACTACAACTACAACTACAACTGACACAACAACAACAACAACAACAACAACTACTACTACTACTACTACTACTACTAGTACTAGTACTACTACTACTACTACTATACTACTACTACTACTACTACTACTACTACTACTACTACTACTACTACTACTAGTACTACTACTACTACTACTACTACTACTACTACTACTACTACTAGGACTTACTACTACTACTACTACTACTACTACTACTACTACTACTAGTACTACTAGTACTACTACTACTAGTACTACTACTTTCCTACTACTAACTACTACTAACTAAAACAACTAAACTAACTACTCGACTACTACTACTAACTAAAAGGGTATACTACTGGAGAAAAACGTGCACTACTCGGCTCCCTAAGGCTTAGTTAAGAAAACGACACGCTGAAGATGGAAAACACTCCTCCTGTCTAGTTGATGCGGGACTCACCTGGGACTCTACTAACTGACTAGACTACTGTACTACTACTACTACTACTACTACTACTACTACTACTACTAGTACTACTAGTACTACTACTACTAGTACTACTACTACTACAAGTATAAATACATGTACAAACAATGGATTACACTACACTGACTACATTACACTACGCTAATTACATTTCACTACGTTAATTACAGTACACTACACTGATTACATTACAACTACAGCAACTACTACAAATACAGCTACACCTTCAACTACAACTACACTACATTACGCTACATTACAGTACGCTACATTACACTACACTTCACTAATTACACTACAATACAGTACGCTACAACTACAGCTACAACTACAACTGCGCTACATTACACAACCCTACAGCTACAACTACATGTACACCTACAGCTACAACTACACTACACTAATTACACTACACTACACAACAGCTACAACGACAGCTACAACTACAACTACACTACTTTACACTATATCCACTACACTAGACTACACTACACTATACTGTACTATACTACAGCACACAACACACAGTACACTAGACTACGCTACATTACACTACACTAATTACACCACACCACAGCTGCAACTGCAACTGCAACTACACACAAACAGACTAATTACACCACACTAAACTACAAACCCACTACTGCACACTACAACTACAACTACAACTACAACTGCGCTACACCACACTACATCAAGCAGTTGTGGGTGAGGTGACCACTGCAACCATTGCAGCCATTTCAAAAAACACATCTCCAACCACCTTTCAATCCAGCAGTAGGTTCGCTTTGCCATTCGTGATTCACAACAACCAACCTCTCCTATAGGTTTCATATTTATTTTTAACTTCCGCCACCGTTTTGTGCGGTACATCTATATAAACTTGAATGATTCAAAATGATTGGCCCCAAAAAATGTTGGCTGGCCCATTTTTGAGCCATGGTCCATGGTTGTCTCAGAAAGGGCGGTAAGACCATCATCAGTATTGGCGATCCACCAACTGAAGCCAAGCTGGATGTGAATTCTGAAGATGAACACCTCCTCACCTAGAGATATCCTGCTAACCAGCACTCTTCAACCAGACTCTGAAATGAAGATACATCACAACCTCCAGGATAGAGCAGGTTCAAAACCAGGACCAAATGCTACAACAGTGATAAACTGAACCTGTTCTGTCTTTTCGCGCTTCTATACTCCACATTCTTGGACTTGTATCATGTTGGTTTGTCTGCAAATGTTGGAACAACAAAAAACTAAACGACACCGTTTATCACCACTTTCGGAATTGCTTCGTTGCGCTTTAAGGGGTAGACTCTATCTTCAAACACACATATGAACATAAAATAATATCCCATGCCTAAACTAGGGCTTTGTTTGTGGTGTATCTTGGAGAGAAGAAATTGTAATCACCAGCTCCGATTCTTGCAGGCATCACCTATTTGATCGGTTGAAAACAAAACATGTTTTGATATGTTTTGTAGATATAGATTTCCCAAGTTGATGACTTGCAACGTTTTCAGGCACAGATTCTCTCTCATGGAAATCTCCCGGAATAGATCTGGAGAAGCATCATGTTGGAAAACAAGTTGTTGGTTGTTTTTTGGTCGACAACGTACCATCTACTGTCCAGTATGGATCCAATTCATATTCCATCTTGTGAAGCTACTTCGCTCTAAGATGCCTTGCAGAAAACCATGTTTTTTTTGGCTGGCCTCTATAGCAAAAAGATTGCCCAAGTCCACAACCCGTGGAAGGTCTACCCAAATGCCATATTTGAGCAGCTCAGAAAGCCATCTTTGGTTGATGTCGTACCTCCTACTTTAAGTTCCCCAAAGCCCAGTACCACTAAGTGTTTTTCAAAGTGCCCCAGCTCTGTTCGTTGTTGGTTTAAAAACCCCGTTAACTATAGTTCGTTACATCTACCAAAAACCATCGAAAAATAGGGGGGTCCGTTCACCAATTTGGCCACCTTCAATCCCATGACAGATCTCAGATCCGTACATCCCATGAAACAATCCCATCCAAAATGACATGAAAAGTCCCATGAAACATCAAGTTTTAAATCCCAGCACATTATTCTTACAATTATGGCCATTTATTGTTTATGATTGGTCATAAATGGGATGAGAAATTCCATAAATGGGGTCAGTTCAGTACTTATAACGGGTATTCCGGGTCATGACTATTGACCAGACTATTGATCAGTCTTAATTAAATCCCGGAACATCATCCTTGCAATGTGCCCCCCCAGCTATATATTGGTTTAAAAACACCATGAACAATGGGTAAAAGATGTTAAAAGTATCATAAACCATAGTTATATATTGAAGTTATAAACCAGCTTAGCTATCGTTCGGGGGCCCACATTGTACATCACCATTCAACTGCCAAGCTCCAGCCGAGTTTCAGGGCAAACGCCTGGCGATGTGGCGATGGAATCCAATTGATAGCCCACCTGCACCATGGGTCGTCGAAGCCGGAAGATGTCAAAAACATATAATACGTGTTACATTAAATGGTGATTTCATGGGATTTCATGGGATTTTATATGGAATCTTATGGGGTTTTATGTTGTGTTTTAAGTTTTGTGTGAAATTATCTATGAGAATTTATGTGATTTTACTGTTAATTTACTCTCCGGATTTTTCAAAGATGGCAATAGGAAATCAGCAGGTTGAAGAGGTAAACGATGCAAACCATCTACAAATGGGCCTTTTTGCATTGCCATGTTTGATCAGGCTTCACGATGCGTGGTCGGCGTCAAGATTTCGGCATGCCGCCATAGGCCCAGGCCCCAGTATCATCGATCTGATTGGCCAAGTCCTCAATCTGCCGACCCACATCTTCCATGAGCTCCAGATCTTTCCTGACTCAGGAGCCACAGTTGCATCCTGAGCCTACTATAATATATTATTCACTATTAATTATACAAACCATATATGACGTGTATATATATATATTATAGATAATAGCACCTGATCAGGAGAGCCAATATGCCTGGGCAAAGTTTGGAGCAAGGAAGCAGATCTTCTTACCACAGTGCGAAGTACTCCCGAACATCGTCAGGCGCCTCTGGCGCCGCCGCCGGGCGTTTTCTTCCTGGTTGTGTCTGATTTGTTTTTCAATGCGCCAGGTTCAATGTCCCCTTTTCTTGCCCATGTGATAGTTCGTATAGTTGCAACATGTGTGTTGCTGAAAACCTTTTTTTTTCTGGCTGCATTCTAGGGAAACGCTCATTCAGATTGTAATTCCTTTGTGCTCTTGGCTAGAAACTCGTGATTTTGGAATCTTTAAATCATGTCGGAATGGTTATTCCAACTGGCTAAGCCTAGAATCGGACGTTTGTTTTTTTCGAATTTGTGAATTATTCGGCACTCATTGTGCGGGCTGTGCGATCTAGTCATGTTGGTTCAGAGATGGGTTGACTTGTCAAGTTGTCGCAGCGAGTGGTCAACACACGATAAACTCATTTAGGATCGTGGACTTTTCTTTACATGGATTTAACATGCAATGTGGCAAAAACCCCAGTGACGTTTGTTGGTTTAAAAACACCATTAACAATAGCTAAAAGTATCATAAACCATAGTTATTGAAGTTACCAACCAACTTAGCTATTGTTCGGGGGCCCCGCATTCATTTAACTTCCTTGGTACTTTGAATGGAAACCTCATTGTGTAAATGAGATTTGGATAAAATGGGGTCAGGGAACCGAGTGGTGGAGAATTTGAACCAGACAAAATGCCTAGCAATCCCAGGGGGAAAAAAACATCAAAAAACCATGATCAGTCAATCCCATGATATTTTCTGGGTAATTTTAGAAATCTCCAACAAATACAGACTTTCTTTGGAGCTGAATAGTCCCAACAATTTCAACCAAGATATGTTCACCAACTTAGCTATCTCGTGGTGCCCCACCCAAGGCAAATGGGCGATTTTGGCCCAGTTATAGAATCTCCCTAATTATATATATGTGTGTGTGTTCTCAGTTACACACACACAGTAATATATATATATATGGTGGTGCCCTGCACTGATGTTTGTTGGGTCAAAAACCCCATCGAACTATAGATATATTTCCTATATGTCCGCATAAATTTTGGTTACCCTAATAAAATAAATTAACTCAGCTATTCAAATCCTACTAGAATACCATCAGACTACCATTAATTCGCCATACCAATCGCTGAATCATGTTGTATCCTGATTAGTAGCTAGGTTCGCTATTGTTATTCAGGGTCCCAGCAACGTTTGGAAGGTTCGCTATTGTGGCATTTTTTGTTTGGCAGACATGTTTTCTTAACAAAAAATGATTGAGTGAACAAAAACATGACATGTTTTCTGAAAAAAATGTGCTTGTCTGCCTTTCCCAAAAGAATCATATCGCTTATTAAACCCTTATTAAAGAACAGTTTTTCCACACATTTCCAAGGCACTGGGCCATGAGACGGTCCAATTCACTTCAGTAGGTTTGTTCAGGGTTCACAATTGCAGCAAACTCTTCCAGAGCTTATCCTGGAGCCAAGAAAAGAAAGGGAGGCCTTTTCCAAAAGCAATTTCCAAATTCAAAGTCGAAACCTTTCCCAAAAGAATCAGACCGCTTATTCAACCCTTATTAAAGAACAGTTTCTCCACACATTTCCAAGGCACTGGGCCATGAGAGGGTCCAATTCAGTTTAGTAGGTTTGTTCTCAGGGTTCACAATTGCAGCAATTTGTTCCAGAGCTGATCCTGGGGCCAAGAGAAGAAAGGTAGGCCTTTTCCAAAAGCAACCTTTTCTTTCTGCTTTTCTTTCTCTTATCCTTTCTCTTTCTCTTTCTCTTGCTCTTCCTCTTCCTATCTCTCTCTTTTTCTTTCTCTTTCTCTTTCTCTCGTTCCCTTTCTCTTTTCTTTCTCCTTCTTTTTCTCTTACTGCATGTTCATTAAGAAATAACTTAAGGTGGAAAAGGTAACACAGTCAACATGCTGAACCCCACTCACTACAAGTACTACAACTACTACAAGTACTACGAATATCTCAAGTTTATCGGCAAAACAAGTTTTAAGTAGATTTCAGTTGTAGCCAATTGAAATCCTTTAGTGCAGTTGTTTTTTTTCCGGGGGAACCGCCTTTTTTTGCGCACAACTCTAAAGAGGGTATAGCTATTGTTGAGGGGGGGCCTCACACTAATCAGGACGAAACATTACGCTCATCTTGTACTATCATGTCCTAACCTGAATTCGCATTAATCACACACCACATTTACCTGTACCCTCGGTGTCCTCAAACGTGTATAGATAATGTTCCGACAAAAAGGATTTTCCAGTGCCACGTTTGATTACCGGAGAGTAAATCTTCACAAATCATGATTTGTTGATGGGTATAGTTATAGCACTTATAGACTATTGATATCATAGTTATTCCACTATATCCCCTCTCTTGCTGGTTGTATCAACATGTTTCCTGGTTAAATCACCATTATTTATCAGTTAAATAAATCAGTTAAATCCATAAGCATCATTTTTGCAAATTAATTCAATATGTTTATTGTTCTTCTTGAGATAGTTCATATAGTTCATCGCAGAACCACCACAAAATGGTTGGTTGAAATCGTAGTGTGTGTGAAACTTAAATCCCGATGTTAGATGGTAAAAACTCCATGTTTGCAAGGGTTTGGAAGCAAACAATCCCACTAAACTCCATGAAAGCATCATGAAATTCCATGAAATCACTATGACTTTGCTGGTAAAAGACCTATTTTCCAGCTATAAACCAAGATAAACCACAATGAATCATGGTTCAATCCCATTAAATCATCATTTTCTTGCTGGTTTTTAGGCCTATCCCCTGGCGTCCCAAAGCCATCCGGCTTCGTCCCAGGTCCCACCCTGGCGACATAGGTGGTGGCTTGTCCCACGTTATTCAGGCAGGCGGCCAGGAGGACCTGGCGGCGCGGAAAAAAATGGGGAACATAGCAATAGATAGGTTTTAAAGAGGTTCATATGGGTTTATCCCTATGATATCAATATTATGGGGGAACATATCAAGAGGTGATTAATATGTTTTTTCCTTATGATATCAATAGGCTATAACAACTGTAAATATGGCAAATTGGTTTGAACGAGGTGATTCATATCTGGTTGGTGGTTTCAAGCCACCCCTCTGAAAAATGATGGAGTGAATGTCAGTTGGAATGATGACATTTCCAATGTAATGGAAATAAACATGTTCCAAACCACCAACCAGATATGGGTTTATCCCTATGATATCAATAGGCTATAATTAAGAAACAAATGGCAAATATGGAAAATATTGGAAAACCATGGTGATTTAAGATGGGTTTGTAGTTGACGTGAGGTATTTTATGGTACTAGCAAAGTTATGGTGATTTAGTGGGATTCAATTGGGATTTCATTTGTCTTCATGAAATTTATATTGGATATATCTGGGATTTATATGGGATTTAATACGGTGTAAATTAGATGTCACCAACATTCCATGGAAATTCTCCAGCAAACTCGTGATGTCACCGGACCGTTGACCCTTCGTGCCAGACATGACGTACTTGTGGCTGCAGTTCCGGTGAACTAAGTGCAGGATCAATCTAAGCATAGTCATGGTGGTTCCCAAGTTATGGTGATGTTATGTAGTTGTAGCCACTAATAATCCCAACTGCACCCTCAAGGTAGTTCTCCCTCTATATATCTGGTTGGCGGTTTTAACCATTTTGAAAAATATAAGTTCGTCAATGGGAAGGATTATCCCATATATTATGGAAAATCACAATTTTTAATAGGTAAACCATCTATAAATGGGCGATTTCCCATGGCTATGTTAAATAACCAGAGGGTATGTGTTTTTCGCTGTAGCCATTGTGGCTTGCAAGTTGCAGCTCGAATCGATGCCCCATTTGATATCACACCAATGCCAACCATGATGGTCCCCTGCCCGGTCAAAACAACAACAACAACAACCACAACCACAACCAAAGCCACAACCACAACCGCAACGACAACAACAACAACAACAACGTCTGGCTGAATTACAAAAATTCACTAGTCTGAAAAACAAAAACTTGCGGCCATTTGGGGATGATTCCCCTTACGTTCACAAGCATTTCGGTGACGCCGCAGTCAGGTGACTATAATTCATCCAAACAAAGAATGTTTTTTTGTCAAACCCAGATCGGACAGCTTTCACCATGAATTGCCACAGCATCGCACGTCATCACGTCGTGGCCGGGACACATCTTCTCTCCCTGCTTCCGGCTGCTTTGAGTACGGAACCAGGGTGCTGGTCGGATTTTTACCTTAGGCTCCAGTCGATCATTCAGATTTCTCCCTGCCATCTTTTCCATTGGATAAAACAAATGCGTCTTGATCGTAAGGTGGAGCTCCCCGGGTAGCTAAGTTGGTATATTATAAGTTAAGGTAGACTACAGTTATGGCCCGAGTTATACCAGTTACAAGTACTTATAATCCCATTTATGGAATGTATAACTCCATTTATGATCAGCTATAACTAATAAATGACCATAAGTGTAATAATTATTGGAAATACAATGAGTTAGGTAACTGGGTTCACAAACGCATTTCTACCTAGGGGGGCCCACCTTGTATCTATGCAAGTCTTTCTTGCAGAATTTGAACATCAGGAAGAACACATGAAGACATATATGTTCTTTATGGTATGTGTGTGCTAGCAAACATGGTATGTTAGAACAATATATAGCTGGTTCATACCATGTCACATAGCTATCCAGGGATCATCCCCGAAGGACTGGTCACCGAAATTCAGTGGAAAACTCAGGTAAGGTCCATGAATCATTTATCAATGAATCTCTCTCTTTCTGTCTCTCTCTCTCTATATATATTATATCATATATATATAAATATATTAGAACAAAAAACTTGAAATCAACTTGTGAAGAAAGATCTCTCCATTCAACCTGACTATACATGTCGGTTCGACCCAAAGTCTTGGATCCTTCGAGTGTCATCCTTTTTCATGGGATACCCCCAGCTGATGGTGCCTTCCCCTCAGTTATATTTATGTTTGTTTGCCTATAAACCCTACGGTTGTGGCCCGAAATACCAGTTATAAGTACTTACAGCCACATTTATGGAACGCATACCATAAACCAATATTTAAACCATCGCTATTGTAGTTATAAAACAAAATTAGCTGATGCCGGAGAACAATGTTTTTCATTGTACAGCCCCTGTTCTCTTAGACTCCTTGGGTACCGGAATTTAAGATATCCACACACATCCGCATATATTGAAATCTTAGGTCCTCGAAAGGGGTATTGTGAAAATTTGTTAAATCCACAGGGGATTCTTCAATCACAACTTTCATCCTTGGTGGTTCACCCTATAGCCCTACTTGCCCTACTGAATCTGCATTGGGGTTATCATCCACTTACGTTCCCTGGGTAGTCCACCAAGTACATATGTGACATCAGCATCTCCAATCACCAAACTGGTAAAAAAGTCATAAATCACCAATAATCACCATTTAGCTGATGGCTATAGCCTATTTGCAACATAGTTATTGCCCGGGTTTTGTAAAATTGCTGGTTCAATTTTCATGTGTAATAGTTAAATACCCATATTTTGGATGGTTAGAATCCCAATATTTTTGCTGGTGAAATTTCAAAACAAATGGAGGCTTCAATTCCATGAAATCACCACAACTCTGCTGGTAGAATACCATAAAATACTTATATGTCAACCATAAACCCATCTTAAATCACATTTGTTCAAGTAAGTTTCCATATGTTCCATATTGTTGCCATATGTTGATTCCCATTTTCTCGTTGCCTACGGGAGGCCACCCCACCAAGGCGCACTCCACGGCGATATCGCTCAAGGCGGCGGCCGCCTTGGCCACGCCACCCACCAAGACGCCGATGCTCATGGAGCACTTGGCCGGATATAGCGAATCCACCTGCAGGTTTTATTCCCCCAAAACGAGCTCGCGAAGTTAGTTGAGATATGGATAAGTGGCTGAATTAACAAAATTAATTATGGTAGAAATGGTAGATATCACGAACTATAGTTTTCATGGGGTTTAAGAACCATCTTACAGTTATGACCCGTAATACCAATGACTATTGTGATTAGTGGTGACTGATAGTGTTCATAGCGGTGAATAGTGCCTAAATACCTGAAATACCAGTTACTAGTATGACCCGAGTCATACCAGTGATTTTTTGTCACTGAAATAACCCCATAAAACTGGTGTATGTATATTTATAATTGTTATTTCGGGCCATAACTGTAGGGGGAAACTGTTTGAGACGAGTTTGTTGGGAAAGAGCACATGGTATAATTAATAATATGGTATATGTTTAATTATGGTGATATTACAAGGCTTTTATGAGGATTTACGATGATTTTTTTTTCGGATCGACTGGGATTTTCTAGGATTTAATGGGATTGAACATGATTTCCGATAGCTAAGTTGGATGTTGACCTTTGCAGCCAAACATATGACATTTTTTCGTGATGCACTTGGACTTTAATGGGTACATCCTTTCATGGGATAGCTCAGTTGGTGGGAAAATAACCACGTGAAACCCGACACCCTTGAAATGGGAACTAGATGTTTGCCTTCAGCAAGCCATGTATTGACACCAGAAAATGACAGTATGAGGTGGTAGAAAAAAACTATATACAAATTGGTAGACGTTGTAAATAAATGTGTATATATAATTATATATGATTATAAATACATAAATGTCATATATATATATGTAAAAACATATGTATATATATATATACATATGTATATATATATATACATATGTATATACATATATGTATGTATATATATATATGTATATATATATATATATATACATATGTATATATATATAAATATATGTATATGTATATATATATATATATAATATGTATATATATATAATATATGTATATGTGTATATATGTGTGTATATATATAATATGGGTAAATTGCAAACATGTATGTTACACTCCGGTATCCTCCGGTAATCAACCATGGCTGGCTGCTTGGGAATCCATAAAATATAGGCATTTGAAAAGGACTAGGGTATCCATCGCCGGGTTTGATGACCACTAAATTGTACTAAAAATACCGAATATGGTCGCAAAAGGTCGTCAAGCTTTCATTTTACGCACTTTCTTGCGCATGTTCGGTTGAAGGATGAGATCCAGATTGCCATTTGAGAATGTGAAGTGGTCGATCTAACTCCCATCAACCCCCCTTTAGAAGCTTATTCAACCCCTATTGTAGGGTTAAATCAGGACTGTCGAAGCCTTGTTGACTTCTTCAACTTTAAGGGCCTACATCTTTTTGTGGAAATGCTTTGCATCCTGACCAGCTGCTCAATGAAAATGCTAATTCAAAACATTCAAATCAATCAAAAACGAAAAAACTGAAGCGCAGTTGTGGCCATGGCTACTAGTTATACAGTAATTGCTGATTTCAATGGGATTATACATTCCAACCATTTTTATGGGTTTATTTCAGATCAACCAGAACTGCTACGACCTGGTTTCCTGGGCGATTGGTGAAATCCCCCAGAAACAGCACCGAGAACCCTGCACTGCTGCACCTTGTTGGGCGGCGGACAGGTATAGACTGAGTCCGAGACGTATTGATCCACGTACCTCCAGGTTTCTGCGCAATGAAAAAATGGTGAATTGATGGAATTCAATGGTGATTTAATGAGATCTTCGGGGTGCAAACGAGGTGGAGCCCTCAAATGTTTCTGTTTTTTTTTCAAAAATACATGAGGAAGGTAACTATTGTTGATGGGGTGTATAAACCAGCAAGCATAACTGGGAGGGCCAACTTGTAACATTGATTGGGATTGGAACAAACCTTAATATAAATCAATACAAATCAAAAAAATGAAGATGCATCTAATGATGGTAAACTAAATGAGGGAACAACCTCATAATTTCTGTGGGACAAACAAAACACAATCAAAGCAAAGGAAGACTGGGGTCAACACTCCATGCACTTCTTTGGGTTGTCCCAATTGGGTTTCCACCGTAGCCGTAAACATATGGCTGAACTTAGATACCTGCCAAACACTGTAGCTGTAAACGTATGGCTGAACTTAGATACCTGCCAAACAAAACACACACAAAAAAAAGAGGTGGGCCCCCTGAGTTATCTTTGTTGGTTTGTGAACCCTCTTGACTGTAGTTACACACCTCTTAAACCATAGAATTCACCAAGCTATGTTTATCAACTTAGCTATTTGGGGGGGCCATGTTGTATATGTATCTTTTTGGTTGTGGAGTAGGTGAGGGTCGGGGGGCCCCATTCGTTTGCCCCATTGCTTGAAACCTCTGGATTTTTCTAAAGTTGCTATGGCGTTGGAGGTGACAGAATAGAGATGATTTGAAATAATGTATGATAATCTCAACAAATCTATATATATATAATTACATATCAGTTGTGACTACCCCAGGGGCCCCAAATCTTTAATCCACGAATTATTCTTGAGGCTGAATCACACAGGAAATCAAGTCATAGCATTTTCATGGATGAACTTACATTTGCAATTTGATTTTGTAGCTACTTTAGGAAGCTATAACCTACAGGAAAAGGACAACCCGTTTAAAAGTGTTCTTTCTTGGTTCACAGACCCATTTAACTATAGATATATCACCTTTATGTAAATCTTATAGTGATATATATATATATATTTCCTTAAACCCATCTTAAACCATTGGACTTGGCTAAATTCCCTATGTGCATGGGTAAACATCACCATAAATCGTGCCGTTGCTTCCCACCTTTTCCTCACCCCCAACCGTGCCGTGGATCCGAGTGGCAGCAAACTCGAAATGATGCCGTTGATCTGCGACGCACAGGACCTTGCAGCCAGATTGGCATCGTTTGAAACAGAGAACTGGTTGTCAGCCAGCTGTTATATATGGTAGCTATTAGCAAGGAATAAACATACTATAATATTATAAATATATATACACGTATGTGGGTATAGTTCTTTGGAGGATGACCACATAATTCATTTCAAGATGATCAAGATGTTGAGCATGAACAAAACAAACAACAGTCTAGACTTGCATACCTCATTTGATAATGACTTCATGTTTAGCTTTGCCCTCAAGTTGAAGGTCTGGATACATTACCAAGCCTCTCGAAAGCCTGGGCAACTTATCTGGATCCAATAGGGATTTAGTGGGATCTAATGGGAATCGGATAGGATTTATGGGAGGTTTACGGGATTTACACGCGTATATGCTGGGAGTATGACTCGCAATTTCAATGATGTTTGGATAAATTATGTCATAATAAACTGACCCAAAGAAAGCTATTTTGAGATAGTTACCCCAATCCAAACCATGATTCCAGCAACGTCGCGTTCAGGGCGATATGAGTTATCATGATTTATACAGATGTGTGGGATGTATGTATATATATATATACATATATGGTTTATATTGGTTTATATTGGTTTATATATGTCCTCTACCTTTTCGAGCGCGAGTTGCTTAAAGGGGTCGTTTGTAGCTTCTCAAAACGCATCTGGATTCACAAGAACAACTTTGAGAATCTGTGAAAAGAAGCCAGTTTTGGTGATCACCAGGGCCAGTCTGCCATCAACTGTTGAAGCAAAACCCTTTGTTGAGCCACCATTTCTTTCGATGTCGTTCATGCTACTCTGGTTGGTGGTTTCAGCCCCTCTGCGGGGTTACTATTCCCAATGGATGGAAAAATAAAAAATGTTCCAAACCACCAACCAGTACTTCAGAACTACCTTTCCTCTGGTAATCCGTCCTCACCATGAAAACAATCCACATCGACAGGAAAAAAACCGACCATCCTGTAGCCGAGAGACATCTGAGCCTCTTTGACATTCTTCTTGGCAACACTTGCCTACAGTGAAATGGCCATGGTAGTTATTAATTTCTATGGGATTAAAAGCAAACCATTTTTATGAAGTTATTTCAGTACAAACATAACTGGTATAACTCGAGCCATAACTGGAGGAGATCAATATGTTCGCAGTGACTTTTTGTTCATCCATCCCATCATGATTTGGGGGCGCAGTTGGCGTTGTAAGTGGATATAAAACCTTAGGACGGGTGATATCATATCCCAATTTATCTTATATAGTTTAATTTAGCATTATATACAACATACCAACATTATGTTTTATATAATATATAGATTTTAGATGAATAAGCAGAGAGCTAGTATCCCAACCGTTTTGTGTTCAAATTCCATACCAGCAATTATGCCCATTAATAACCCCAGGCCTGCCCAAGTAATGTCAACCCTGGATTAATAAAGCCCTAGGCTGCTTAATTGGGAGGGTACCATTTAAGTATCAAATAATGACTATTGGAGGAGTACCCCCCCAAATTAATAAACAATCGTTTATTAATCCGGGGTTGCATTATGAGGTGATTTTTCAGATGATATTGGTAGGCTTTGAGGCTTCGATGTCCCTTCAGTGTCCATTTATAGATGGGATTTTCCATGATTTTCCACCATAAACTAACCATGTCAAGGTACCCCCATTTTAGGAAACCTCCAGAGTTTGCGAGCTGGAAACCAAGGGCCCTTTAGTTCGATGATTTCGGAGATGCAGATTGAAAATTGAAAATGGTGATGTTCCATAGCTACGTTACAGTTATGGCCATTTATTAGTTAAAACTGTTTTTTTTCTATGGAGGTTTACATTCAATTCTATAAATGGGATTATTTCAGTACTTATATAACTGGTATAACTCGGGCCATAACTGTACCATAACTGTAGTTACGTCAATTCCCAAAGAGTACGTAAGTTAAAAAAAAAAAACTCACCAGATACGGGCAGTCATCCCCGGCGGACCCATGTTTCGGCACAAAAAACATGGTAAACTACCCCCTTGGGAGAATTCATCTGTAACGATCATCTAAGGGTACTGCTTCAAATCTTCAAAAAGAAATATGTTCCGACCTGTGTATGCCTTGTATGAACTGACAACTACCATACTATAGTAGCAATTATGATTGAATACCTTTCAAATCCTGCACTATCACAGGCTTTGATTTGGAGTATGCCGGATTCCTACAGGACAATTTTTTTCGCGAAACGAAATGCCCAGCCCTAATCTGCATTTTCACTTTCAGGATGACCAAATTCCGTGGTCTGAGTCTTGAACCAGTTGCCGCCATTTCAACAGCAACCCAAACGTCCCGTCACCGGTTCAGAAGTATTGGCACTTTACCCCCACCGACATCTCTCTAGGTATATAACTCTTATGTTACATACATATGATTATATACGTAACTGTAAACTGTAAATATCATTGATTATCATTATCATTGTATATTACAAACATGTGTAACTTATATAAAGCACCAAACTTGCTGCATATATTCTGTAGTCCTGGGAGTCCTGGGGCAGCGCCTGCGGCGGCTCATCTCCTGGTATCTTTCACCGCAAGTGATGCTTTCGAGGCGGGAGCCATCATTCAGCTAGTTGCTGCCAAGTCATCTGGAGTCTGTGCATGGCTTGGGTAGCGTCGTACATTCTATTGTTAATCTGACCTTGCAGATATACTATTTGCTCATGAACATGGCGAAGACGATCGGCTTCTGTCCGCACTCTGCTTGGGTGCACATCACCTGCAATGGCCCTGGCACAAATCGCCCGCACCCGAAAGTGTCATCGCAAGAGCCACTTGCGATATGGTCAGTGTGTTTTCCGGCATGTCCGTTCATCATCACGTGTGTCAGCATGCATTCGCACGCAGAGGGATGCAACCTGGACATGGATGTAGTGAAAGTTAAGTTGCGTGAGGTCAGCACCCCGGTGTTGTTCCTTTAAGCCACCTGCGCCACCAGTGTCTCGCTGATCTTCAGAAGTTTGTTGATTCATTTATTTCCACTATATTTCCAGGCATACCCGAAAGATGGGTAAAGGTACTTTGTCTTTTCAGTAAATACAAATTCTGACTGGTAAAGTGAGGATCTAAGTGCAGCCATCTACAGCCGTAGTCGGAACACACGAGAAATAATACTTTGCTAGCTTGACATCCCCCCCTTTTTGCTGGTTGCTCTTGATCGGTGGGTGCCCATAAGATCTCCTTTTATGTCCTGTCTTTTTGGTGGCAATCATGAAAACAAACGGAA